CCAACCAGTTTCTCTCATTTGCATTTCATTTGAATTTCAGAGTGTCACAGAGATGTGAAGGGCTTCAATATAAAAAAGATTAGGTGCAATTTTTGCTAATAAGGAGAAAGTTGTTAAATAATGCAAACTGTAATATGGAATTATGTTCAGCCATGTTTCATGTCTTCTGCCAACTTTGTTTTTTACTATAGAATCTATTTAGTAGTTTATAACAGCAAGGGGGTAATTCCCACTGCTCTCCAAAGATAATTTCATATTTAAGGGCCAGGGTGTATTGTGAAGTACATGAGGCTCTTGGTTCAATAGCCAGCATAATGTTTTTAAATTTTTAAATAATATTTATGGCCTATTTCATATTATTTTCATTAATAACTTTTGGTCAAAAAATCACGTTACCATAATTTGTGAAACTGTATATTAATTAATTCAGTCCAAAGCAGAATTGTCCCAAACATAATTTCCTTAATCTCAACTCTTGCAGGTATGGAAGTAATCTCATTCTTATTTTATAACCCTTTTGACAAAACAAAAACAACTATGGCTTATGAAGACAGTTTTGTGACTGTTTTAAAACAATATATGTCTCAAACTTTCCTTCATCAACCCTATTGCCATCTAATACGTAAGTGTTGCTAGAGAGTTTTTCTGTTTTTCCTAGACAACAACTATTATAAAAGATCAAAAAAATGTGTTTTTTGAGATACCTTACATTCTTGCTAAAGTGGACTATTGCCTGTTTTCTTAATAAATATGCATTTTAAAATAAAGTTTTTATAGCTCCATAATTTTGCTGACAGTGCTGTTTCTAATATCCTTTCCTTTCTACTTTGTAAATGGCTTCTCATCCTTAAAAAATGTGATACCTATCCCTAAACAGTCTTTCTTGTAGAAATACTGTAGCTCCTAAGAATGCTGTACTGAATGTAATCAATCACGTTTTTATACAGTAGTGGGAACTGGGTAATCAAGCTAGCCAACAGACCAGAGATGAACCCTTGAAAAAAGCCAAGCCAATAAAAACCTTTGCTCAGGAATTTGAATTAGAGTCTTTGAGAGGCTAAACAATTTGCTGAGGAGAGCTGAGCTCAATAGTTATTTATACTGGGGACATATTTTTTTCATCATGACAAACCATATGGCACCATGTGTAGATTACAATGAAGCATAAATTATAAGCAACTTAATGAAGCCAATCTACAGAATATCTTCTGTACTAATTTTTATAAGAAGTTTCATTTCAGTTTCTTTTTTGCTTTCTTTTTGTATTTTAAATACTTCTACATTAAAGAAAATTTACTCTAATTAGTTTTATTTTAAAATAATTATTAAATAAAATTATAAATGCTCCCTGCACTCTTTTCTTCTTTAGGCGAGGTGAATATTGCAATTTTTGCTTAATCTGAAATTTACTGATTGAAATGAGGATAGAGATATTCTTCTAAATTCTCTCTTTTCCTTGAAATAAAAGGACCTTGAGAAAATGGAGATTCAAATACTGTCACTTTTCTGAGTAGCTACAGACTAATTTAATCATTAATATGTTGTCAGGTACTAGTATATTATAACAGTATATATGCTTTATTGTCCAATAGTAAGTCCTAAAATACTGCCTACTATCGGTTAGACATAATGGCAAATATTATTCTCACACTTAACTTCTATATTCTCACACTTATAATAATCTATATTCTCTCCGCATTATCAGTGAGGTTATACTCTTTGCCAATCATGCAGTTATATCTTGAAGGAGCTCTGACTTCATCCCAAATCAATCTGACTCCAGAGACTCTAACTATTCTACAGAACCAATGCCAAGCACTAATGTTTGTTTGTTGTCTACTTTGGTAAATAGTGAGTTCCTTAACAGTACAAACCAATGTTGTACACACCATTTTACATGACAATATAGTGCTCACTGAGCAGATTAATGTCAATAAATATATATTGAAGTAAAAATTCCTAGAATTACCTAAATTGTAGTCCTAGATTATTGAAGCGATTGCCTGTTTCTAAACATTCATTATATGCCAACCATTTGAAGACCCACATAAGTGCACATATTTGTACAACCATCTAATGTCTGTATATTTTTTATATTTTTAATGTAGAGATAATATATTTATTTTATAAATTTATTTTATAAATCAGAGTATTGTTTTAGAAGACATAGAAATTGTAATTATAAACTAAATGGAAGACATTTTATAAGCCAAATAATATTTTTGTCTATTTTTCTTTAATACTATAAAAGAAAGTTGACAACAGGATAAAGTTAGATACTACAGCCAATTTTGAAATAAAGAAAAATGTAGAGACTTAATCAATATTTTCCACAAGAGGCAGTGAGTGCTACTATGGCTATGAAATTTAGAAATATTAAAGCTGATACAATTTATAAATGTATAATTATGCTACTGACTTCATAAGTGAATTAGTTAAACTTGATTTATTATAGGGAAATTCATAAATATTTTGATCTACTGAAATACTAGTAATCATATTTTGGTTGACTGTTACTTTTAACCAATATGTCCTTTCCTCATTGCTATAAATAGATTAAATAGTTGAAATATTCACCTATTCCAGCAAAACCTGGAAAGGGGTCATTTTTGTTGTTGTTGCTTGGCAACTGTTGTAGAATTGAAGTAAGATGAACAAATCACCTTCAAATGAGTGTTGAGATTAGTGTTTACTGTAAATGTGCTAGCATAAGCCTGTATTTCCCATCTTCTCCTTTGAGAAACAAAGGCACTTATCATCACTAGATTGGGGATAAACAGACATCTCAATATTTTTCCTAAGCCAGACCTTATAGACAGCTAGAGAAACTATCCTTTTCAGTTTCAGATTTTGTATCAAAAATCAGTCAATATGCTATAAATATATAAGGACAGGAACACAGTAATTTTGTATCCATAGCACAATATTTGTTAGAGTAAAAACTCTGGAAACAACTTAATTATCAATGACTTTTTAAATATATTAGACTGCAATGATTCCAGCATACCACAAACAATGCAATTATTAAAAAGAATGACTCACGTGTCTCTATTACATAGGCTGTCCTATAGGATCCTCAAAGTAGAGAACCAGGTGCAAGGCAGAATGTGGAGTATGTTAACATAAAATGATAAAATACTTCATGAAATTTTCCTATGTGTATGCATTTTCCTTTTTAATAGTTTAAATGACCACCACCACAAAACATTTTAAGCAACCTCTATCTAACAGTTCTATGTTCTTAAGTGATTTTCTTTTAAGCTGTATTTTATCTGACTGTCCTCTTCCAGCCTTCTAGCTAATAAAATGTCTATGATTTTGATATAGCTTCTTAGCTGAATAAATGTACAGTTTATTTTTCCTGACAATCTCTTCCTCAGTTCCCAGTTAGATGAGAAGACCTATCCCTTCTCGGTTAATCTCACTCTCTCCCACCCTGTCTTGAGATGGGCAGCAGGCAGGACTAGAACTCAGGCTGCAGAGTGGGAATCACAGCGATGGAGTCCCTGGCCCCTGTAGGTTCCTGTGGAAAGGAAGGGATCCAATAACCAAGGCCCTGTAAGCCTTTGCTCCTTTCCTCTCTTAAACAGAAGGCCCTGCTTTCTTCTTTTCGTGAAAGGATTTCCTGTCTCCTTTCCTCTATTGTCTTCTTTCCTATTCCTTTAGTGGAGATGGCAGGCCTTAGAATTAGCTTTTTTGGCACTTCAGAAGGCAAACACATGTAGAAAAAGAAAGTTTCTCCTGTGTGAGGAAGCTGAGACTTGCAGACAAAAGGAATGTATCCACAGACATCCTCCCTGGTTCCCTCTCAGTGAAGAGCTAACAGAAGTTGGTGTCCTGCTGTCTGGGTTCCTAGACACTAAGCCACTTCCGGGAACACAAAAACAACAAGCATTCTAGGACATCTGTGCTATTTAAGTAAACATTTGGACAATCGGTCAATTACTACTATCCCACGAATGGCTTGAACCCAGTGTTTTGTGGTTTTCATGCAGGATTTTAGAATACTGCAGAGAAGGTATAAACTGGGAAGGTGGTTTCCCCCCTTTCCTGATATTTGATATAAATATAAAATTTGACAGGTAAAAATGCAGATAGTTTAGATTTCATGGCAGTGGGTTTTCTTTCAAACAATATATTCCTATCCTTATTTCAATTACTAGATTTTAGTTGAATAACGCTGCTCACCTAGCAAGAGAAGAGTCAGATATGTGAGATTTTGTGCTTGTTATTTAATAATTATTTTCAAATTAAAATTATTAGAGTAAGCCTTCCTTGTATATAGGAATATTTAAGATATTTCATATTAATTTTTTATACACAATTGGCATTCATTTGTTAACTATATTTCCATGCACACATCATTTTCCTGCCAACTACCAAGTACTTTGGTATTGCTTCTCTGAACATTTCCTTCCTTGTCCAGTAGGTATTGACCATTAGGTAACATTAATTTATTGGAAACTATTTTTGAATGTAGGAATGTAAGAGTCAACCTCATACTAGCACAAACATTTCTGTTATCAATAGAAAATACATTTTAGCTCAGTGGTTCCACCGCTTGCCTTTCAAGTGCAAGGTCCTGAGTTTGATCCCCAATACAACCCCCCCCCCCAAAAAAGAAAATACATTTTCTTTGAAGTTACTCAATATTGTCTTACATTTAGAAAATATATTTTATTTGACCATTTTTAAACATGTCATATTTATGTTTATCTGTACACACACACACACACACACACACACCTCTTCTAAGACCACAATCCCAAAATTTACCTGTACTTGTAACATTTCATGATATTAAATGTTCAGTTTTGTTTCAAAGACTGCCACAGCCTAGGGTGAAATAGAATGTAAACATTGAGACAGTGCTAGCTTATTCAGAAACTCAGCTAGTGTTTTTATGCTAAAGTTTGGATACCCATCACTTGTTCATCCAAGAGCTTTTTGTATTTCTAGACTCTAGAATTAAAACAGGAAAGAGCTATGCACTTAGGAACTGTAAGCTAAAGTTATTTATTTCAGTTCAACATAGAATATTTATTAGCCAAGGTAAAATCAATGTATACAAAAATTTACATAAAAGAGGAACAATAGGCAATGCAGCACCTTTAGAAAAATAATTAAAAGTTTTGTTACATTTACAGGTAAGTGCCACACTGAGAATTTACAACACAGTAATTTACTGCAATCACAGGGGAGTTCCATTAAGAAACAAAGGTCTCACACTCCACATTTTCAGAGGGTATTATTGGAATGCTTAACTACAGTCACAGAATGTGTACACCCTTTAGGATTGAGCTGATAAGTCATAAAAGGTTTTCATGGCATATATTATATAAGCAGAGTCCATTGCATTTGGACAGCTGGTTTAGTGTCGTTGGCAGGTGTGAAGCCTAGATGAATTACTGGCTTGATGATGATCTTTCTGTATCCGGCAAGACAGCCCTTCTCCACAGTAACAGCGCTGGAATATCTCTAGACCATGGGAGCCTTTTCTCCTGTGTTTGGTGCATACTTGACCTTCTTTGAGAACAGGTTTACAGATCTTGGACCAGAAGTGTCTAGCACAACACAATCCTGTGGCACAGTCTGATGATCGGAGACAGACAGAACCTTCTTGTCCTGTGAAGGAGACAGAAAGAAAAGTAGAGTTACTGCTAAACCTTCATCATGTCATTAAGACAATTTAAAAGACATTTCTGACATGCTAAAAAGGAGAAATGGATTTTAAGGTGCCTTGATCTACCTTTGGTGTGATAGATTTTTGAAGACAGTGTGGTTCTTCTGGAGTACCCATCCAAGGTGCCATGATCATTACCAAAGCTTTCAATGATGGTTTCCTCGATTTCCCCTCTATGGAAATGACTGTGATCAGAAGGCATACATATTCCTAATGAAGCAGAAAACAGCAATTAATTCTAAAGTTGTATTATGTTACTGCTAACAGCCAGCCATGACAGAAACAGTCTGTCACTGCCTACCTGAGAGAGTCTATTGCAGTGACTTTCTTTTAAAAACAGGCCAAACTTCCTTCCTAGTATTTATTAATGCAAAACTCCCCAAATGGACAGAAGTATTGATAACAGTGCAATCAACACTGTATAATCATATGCAAGATCCCCAGTACAGCCTTTCAAAATATTTTCCCAATAACTGTGATAGTGGCAGTGAAATTTCTGCCTATTTTAATATCACAATAGGGTAAGATTACTAGCCACTTACAGGTTTTTTTTCTTAAAAATAAACTTCTCGGTCTATGGTTCTATATGCATACAGACGAAGTTAAACAAATCCACTTCCAGCTGCCTGGAAGATTACAATCTCACCCATCAGTTACTTCACTGTATAATTTCTATATTACAGAGACTGAGTTAATTCATCCTAGAGTACTGCTCTGTCCTAAAGAGGGTAGCCACCCTGTAAGTTTATTTCTGGAGACCTCTTTGGCTGTCTGAGTACCTCTTTGAGAAGTTAAAGTTTTGTGGATCTGTGGTTGGGAGGAGGAGCAGTTATTTTAGTAGAGGATGGAGGGAGAAGGAAAGATGGAGAAACCAGGATGCTAGGGTACCAAGATCTCCCTTAAAAATGGCCAGCACATTTAAATCGCTCTGCCCTCTGGGTGGTAAGTTTCATTATCCAGGGATAGTGAATGACAAGCCAGTCTAGCAAAGCCGTGAGAGTCACCTCATAAAAAATAAATAAATAAATAAAAATGAAAACGGGTAGCAAGATGCCTCTGGATCAGAATGATGCCCTCCCCATCCTCTTTCTCATTTCACCACTAGGGTGAGGAACACAGAGGAAGATAACGAGCTCCCGACCTCTGAACTTAATCTCCTCTCAGACTAAACACTCGCAATGGAGCTATTTCAATGGAACCCCCGCATACTTGAACACCCATTTACTTGCAGGTGGCGCCCCAGTATTCGCAGAATGGAGAGGTTCTCTTTCTCCGGCAGGCACTCAAAGGCGGATGGCTTGACTCAGAAAGGGAGCCACAGGACTCACCGTTCTTGCAGTAATTCCCGGGGCAGCACATAGCGTGGCGCAGGCAGCGTTTGCGGCGCTTCCTGCAGGCGAGACAGATCTGCACTCCGCCGCCCCCTGCGCGGGCGGGACTCGAGCAGTACTCGTCTGTGCTGCACTCCTCGTCCTCCGCGCACGGGTACGGCTACGAGAAGGGAGCGGAGAGGTGAGGAGCCCGGGCCTCCTGGTACCAACACTGCCGGGCCGGGTGCTCGGCACAGTCCTTAACTCTCCGCCTCTCCTCATCTACCGCCCACGGTTCCCAGATGTAGCATTTCCGGGAGAACACTGAGTCTCACAGACACAGCGCCTCCTCCACCCTCCTCTTGGAATGGGAGCCCTTCAGGGTCACAGCGCCCCTGCATCCCGGACCCCTCTCACCTGGTAATTGTCAAGGGCCTGGTACTTGTTCCCGCCCTCATAAAGAATCCCAGGTGCCGCGCTGACTGCAGAGCTCGGGTGCCCGGCAGCGCCCCCCAGCGGCGGGGGGACGTTCTTGATTGCGTTGGAATTGACCAGCACCGAGTTCAAGGTGGCGCTCACTCGGAGCAGAGGGTGGCTGCCCAGAGCCAGCGCTACCAGGGCGACCAAGAAGCGAGCAGCTCCCACTGCGCCCAGAGCCGGCATCTCAGGATTCAAGTAGGAAACAGACAAGAGAACGGAAGGATGTCACTGTGCAAGCCTGGTCCCACCGAAACGAAACGAGCTGGCGCGGGGTCTGAGCCCGGTCCCGGGACGTCCCAGAGTCCCGACTGCAGGGCGCCCGCAGCTCTGCTCCGCCACCGCCACCCGAGCTGCCTTTATACGGCGGGCTCCGAGCGTTCCGGCCCCTGGGGGGAGACAACAAAGCGGGGATGGGATTTCAAAGCACTGGGAGGGCCCGGGAGGGGGTGTGTTTGTGTACTTGAAGGGAGGGGGCTTTGACACTGTGCACCCAGCCCCTCCCTTGCACTGTCGCCGCCGCCGGTCCGGCTCACCTCCGAAGTGAGGGATCTCAGTGTGCGCTTGAGCAGAGGACCCAACAACCGCAGCGGGCTGGAGAAACTGCGAGCTCCGCGTCCAGGCCTGGCAGTAGGGGTTGAATTACTTGCATCTGAAATACTTTGCACAGCCAAATGGTGATAGCCATTGCAAAACCACCTTTCTCTCCTGTCCCTTAAGCCAATATTCGTTTGTTTATGCAAACAATATTCGGTTTTTAAAATAACCTCCTCGATAATTCAAAGGTCCGAAGTAGCTGCTCTACTAGAACGCCAGGTGCAAGCACGGACCAACCCTTTAGCCTCGCGACTCCCCGACCTGGATGAGGTCCTGGTGTCTAAATTCCTCCAGTGGCTTCTCCTCGCCCCACCCCGACCTCTCCTTTCCACTTTGAGAAAAATGTGCAAAGAGGAGAAAATTTGCACATCAAACGAGGATAAAAAGGAAAAAGGATTAATTCTCTTTTGATGGGAAGTTTAGTGAGGGAGGCGAGAGATTGGCATTTGGAAATTAGATCGGGGTGGAGGAAAGAGGAAAATGACCATTGGATAATCAAACTATTTAATGTGGCTCTTTGAATCCAGTGGGTCGCGGCAATAGATGAACTTGATTAGGCAGACCTGGAAGATCAAAGTGGCCAGAGGCGAATCAGACAGGGTCCACCCTGCCGGTCAGTAGTGCCTCCCAGGCTCCCGCTTCTCAGTGGAGGACTAATGGAGGGAGATAAGAAACCCTAAATCTTTAGCGCCTGATTTCCTCATTAGTATTTCATATCCCAAGGCTTGCGTTTGATCCCAAGTCAAACCTTTCCCTGGAAGAAGGCACCCCCCCCCGGGGGGTGGGGATTTTAACAGACTGTCTCCTGGAAAAGGAGCCGGAAGTGAAACAGGGCGAATTTCACATCATTTAGATCAGTGTATAAACTTAACAAATCATCCTGGTGCAAAAAGAAAGTTGTTGTTCTTATAAATTAGAAATGATTAACTTTTTAGTCAATAAAAATACTGCAAGCCTAGCTTCCTGGAGTCATTGCTCTTCCATCCAGGTTATAGTTTTTATTTCCTTTTTTTTTTTTTTTTTTTGAGGAGGTGGGGTGGGATGGGATAAGGGGTGCAGTAAATATAAATATTTAGAGACAGTTCTCACACGGGAGAATAAAAATCAAATCCCCTTTATTCTAGTCATAGCACTTTAAAAGATACAATAATAATAAAATTATAATAATAAAAGGTAAAAAATGTAAAAAATTATTTTTAAAAACAGGCTGATGTTGTTAATGTGAGGAAATGGACAACTACTACATGAGTATAAAAAGGAAGAGATCATTGAAAGTCACTATGAAATAGAAAAAAATGAAATAGATTTATTTTGTGCTCCTCTAATCTTTAGGTTAGCTATACAGTTTGATCAAAACTATGGTTAATGTTTAAATATTTAAAAAATTATTACGGTAAAAGGCACTGAGCCACGTCCTCCTCCAGATACTCCCACTGACTTTGAACTCACTTGTCCATTATTTTTTGCCACTTCCTATGCAGTTCTGGAAGTTCTTTTTCATGGGTGTCTTTAGATTTGTTGTCAAGGCTGCCTTAATGTCCCTAGTTTGTTCAAAACATTTACCATCATGTCATTTTGACTTTGGGGAATGGGCAGACATCACACGGTGCCAGGTACAGTGAATAAAGTGGATGAGGACACATGAAATGTTTTCACAAGACTGTCTCGATTTGATGGCACTTGGCAGTGTATTCATTGTATTTTTGATCACCTTCATAAAGTTATTCGCAAAAGATGACTCCCACAACTTCTTCAGAAAGTGGCAAGAATGAAGGAGTGTTTGAAGTGAAGATGAATGATCACGTGTCTTTTACTGTAATAATTTTGTTTATTTAAACATTCACCATTCAAATAATTACTCCTCATTCTGACTTACTACTGTCATGACTGTGAGGGCCACGGGTGATAGTCTTGAAGATTATAACCCTAAATCTGAATGAGAATGTATATTTAAAAAGCAGTTGGTGATAATCTGTGTTTTGGTTCCTTGGATTTCTGAGGTCATATTAAATAATAGCTTAGAGACAATTTTGTAATGGTCTCTTTAGTTAGGGTAGTGTCCTTGTCATCCAAAGTTCCATCTATCTTTGGAAATGTCCTCTGATTTATTGGTAACTTCTGTTTAGAAGTCTAGCATGAATTAAAACCAACTTTTTATTTTTTAGGTTTCATTTTGAATGTGTCTAATGATGTAGACTTGGCTACTTCTCTTCAATATTTAAAACAAATTTATGACCCTACTAGTTTGTGGATTTGAAGTTCACACGGGCACACAGATATTATCAGGTTAGAGGGTTAAAAAATAAGATTTTTTTTTTGTGGTACCAGGGATCAAACTTGGGACCTTGCACTTGTGAGGCAGGCGGCGCAACCACTAAGCTAAATCTCTGGCAAAAAATAAGATTTTTAAGTACTGTATCATCATTGGCAGATATTAATACCAATATCAATAATCAATGTGTTGGGCATGTTTGCTATACTAGAAAATGTGCAAACTGTCTTAAATTTGTGTAGTATTGAAATGTGGGGAAAGAACCCCTTGCTTGCCTACCTCTTCCTACTATCCAATTTAAATATTTCTAGCATTATATTATGCGACAGTAAAGGAAAATTTCTTTCCCTCTTTTCAGCAGAGATGGTACATGAATGATAAATTCATGCAGAATTTTACTAACAGCTTAGATTCCCAAATGAAACCAGATGTCTGGCTTTTACCTTCCCCAATTTTCATGTTCCTTCTGAAGCTATTACTTTTGAAGTTGTCATGAGTTTAAATCTAATAATGAGTAGATCAATATCTGATTCCTGCTCTGTGCTAAGCACTATACTTGACCCATTTAATAAAAGATGAGCATTCATATTGTTTATATTCAGATAATTTAGTGGAGGGAGATGTGAACTCACAAATTATACAGTGGAGAAATTCGGTAGGTGGTCCTGAGAGAAGGCTGAATATGTGACAAGACAATTTTTTGTTCCAAATAGAAAAATTTGCTTTTTTAGTAGAGTCTCCATTTGAAAATCCTTTTTGTAATTTGTTTTGCTCACAGGCATCAAATGCAGAAGTCTGAAAAAGAGGTAAGTTTCAGTTTCCTTAGCACCACTTACTATTCAGTGATACCCATTATTTATTTATTTTTTCTTGGTACCGGGATCAAACTCGGGTCCTTGTGCTTGCGAGGTAAGCGGTGGAACCACTGAGCTAAATCCCCAGCCCTTGTGATACCCATTATTAAGGAATATATTTCAAAAATATTAAGGGAAAGCTTAAGTAATTTGTACTTAGTCCATCTCTAAGAGTTGCTAAAGTCCTAACAGTCTCAGCACTGCTGAAAAGTCCAAGTCCAAAGTCACCTCTGAGATTTAAGGCAAACTCTTAGCTGTGAGCCCTGTAAAAGCAAAAGAAAGTTAAAACACTGCTGACATTTGATGGCACAGGGTAGACTCCCATTGCTAAAGAATGGAATAGGGGAATAGAAACCAGTGGGACCCAAGCAAGAGCACAACCCAGAAGGCAAACATTAAATCTTGTAGCTCCATGTCCAGTGCCCAGGGCAAATTATGTATGGTGCGATATGAGCTCCAAATTGCTTGGGTGCCCCTCCCCTAAGGCATGGCCAGTGGTTGTAACCCTCATGACTTCTCCTTGGGGCTGGCTTTCCTCAGATGTTTCACATTCCTGGCTTCTCCAACTTCTCAGAGTCTCCACTATATTTTTGTCTTCACTCTCATAGCACATGCAATACCCTCTCAGAGTTCCACTGGCCGGCCTCCCAGGCCTTCTTCTGAAATCTGAGTGGAAGTCTCCACAATTCGACAATTCTTCCATTCTGTGTCCCTGTAAAACCATCACCACAAAGATAATGGCAAGGTCAGGCACCAGCTCAAGTAGCAGCCAGGCCCCTAAATGCGTCGATGGCTGAAAACCTAACCAAATCCCAGGAAGTCAATTCCTTAAGAAGCCTGTCTTTAGCAGGGTGCCCTTGGGCTCTCTTCTCAAGGCAAAAATCTTGCACTTTTGCAACTTTGAACCTGTAAAAAGTTTTCAGTACAAATTTCTGACATGCTTTCAAGCCATTTCTCCTATTCTTGTCATCCAAAGTAGTTGGCTTCTTTTTAATATTAATCCTTCCAGCATTCAAGCTCTCCGCTGCTGCTCCACCATTGGGAGAATCAGCTTTAAAGGAGTTTCCTTTCTGTGCCACTCAAAACTTTTAAAGTCACTTAACTCTGCCATTTGCCCTTATTTTTCAATGTAGAACAGGCTAAAAGCCACCAAAATTATTGAATGTTGGGCTGCCTTGAAATTTCCTCCACCAAATTAATTAGTCCACCATACTTAATCTCAGTCTCCCTCAAAGTCTCAGGACATGAGATTTGGTAGACAAATTTCCTGCCAGAGAATACAACACATGACTTAGAATCCAACTGCCAATGGAGTCCTCGTTCCCAACTGAAACCTCTTAAGCCTGGTCTTTACTGTCTGCATTTTAGCAGCATTCTGATCTTTTGATCAGAATCTCCCATCAAGCTTGACTTACAACATTGGAGAGCCTCTCCAGCCAGCATCTTCAAACCTTTCCAGACTCCTCTTGGGAACCAGGTCCAAAGACTTCTGAACCACATGGTCAGGTAGTGTCATAGCAACACCCCTACATCGGTGGTATCAAAATCTTTCTTAGTTTTCTCATCACTGAGACTAATACCCAACACCCACAACTAAAAAGAAGATAGGTTTACTTTTGGCTTACAGTTTATAGATCTCTTAATCCATGGTCAGCTGGCTCCAAGCCAGGACAGCAGAGCACAAGGGTGTATGTCATGCAGGAAGCAGAGAAAGAAGGGAGGAGCTGGGAAGGGAGATAAACCATTCCAGGCCATGCCCCAGTGACCTGTCTCTTCCAATCAGACCCTACTCCTAACAGCACATTCAGCTATAAACTCATCAGTGGACTTGCAGTTTTGTAAGGATTGTATTCCTGATGAATATAGGGCACATATGATCCATTCACTTCCCAAAGCCCAACCTGTAATGGCATGTAGCTTTGGAGGTACATCTAGAGATAAACCATACAGAATAAACTTCTTTTAAAGCAGATTAAAATTTCACCATAGGGAAGAAAGCAAAAGGTTGAGAAACTGACCAACATGTCTCAGGTGATGGAATTTCTAATAATTCTGATTTTCCTTCTAAAGCTAGGTGATAAAGATGCCAGTGTCCACGACAAGTGTATTTTGTCCATTAAACTTGATTTATTTTGTCCTATATGAAATACTTCTTTTTATTTGGTCTTGTTTAAACATGACCGTAATTAACCCGATAAGCTCAATATTCTGTGTTAGATTTTTAAAAATATATGTTAACCAGTGTAGATTTAAACCTTAAAAGTCAGGAATGGATAAGACACACCTTCTTCATATTGTAAGTGCTGGATGCCAGGCATAGACTACTCATCAACTCCTTCATCTGTGAGGCAGACAGACAAATAATACTCTGAGAAGCATTATACTATTTACAAGCTATTTTTCCATCTTTGTTATTTGAAGTTCTTTTGTAACTGCTGCATTTAAATATTCTACTTTTCTTATTCTTCTCATTCTCCTCTTTCTTCCTTTCTCCTTTCAATCTTTCTCTTTGTTAAATCAAAGGAAGAAGATTCGCAGCCATTTACTTTTACTTTACTAGGAAAACATTGAGCAAATGGTGGGTGTTGCCAACATTTTTGTTGAGACCAATCTTGAAATTATAGCAAAGATTCCTCATTCCTCATGTTTAAAAAAAATGCTATGACT